TGTAACTACCCAACTTGGGTTTGATATATTACTTCATTGTATTAGGTTTGCTTGTATTGTCGTAATTTTTAATTTATCTTTCAGTCAACCTTTGTTATGTCTTTATGTATGCACTTCATGTTTATTTTTTAGGGTAATTTCATTAGCACGTGGCAATAAGTGCAAGAGGTGGTTCCACCCATGTGTCACCTTGTCTGACCTAGGTTTCAAGAGGAATTATATTTCATTTCGGTGACAAATGTTCTAAACTTTAGAGATATTGGGAGCAACTACTTAGGATTTATCAGGAAACACTAATTGCAATGTAATTGATGGAGATTGTTTGAAGTATAATCCTGCTACCATGAGTGCTGTAATTATGTGCTTTGGTATGGTTAATAGAAGCATACGATGCTACCAACTATCTCAGAACTCGTGTTATAAGTCAGAATATGATATGCCCGAAGCATTAATGACCACGGTTTATCACTAATCTTGATAATCTTACTAGAGGATGAGAGACTTTTGGAGAACTTGCATTATTATAAAGGAAGATTTACATGCATGCCACTCAATTCTTATGTAACATATCTAACACTAAAACATTTTTTACATGCATGCCACCTTCCATTTGCATGAAATGTGTATTTCACTTTTTAAAATTTAAAATTGTGGTACTTTTGATGTGATATGAAAGATTTGGGTGGTATATGAAAGATTTATGTGATATGAAAGATTTGGGTGGTATAAATGTAAAAATTAAAGTTTAGGTGTTAGATATGTTGATGCATAAGAATTGGGTGGTATTTATGTGAATGCCTATCATTTATCAAGTTAACTCATACATCACTTTCCTTATTTGCATATTTGTCATAAAAAATTACAGTTCTAAACCCTCACAAACAGATATAATAGTTATATGAAGAGTGTGGCATTACTCCATCTATCGAAAGATTTACATACATACCACTCAATTCTTAGGTATTTACATATCTAACACCAAAATTTCAATTTTTACATACGTGCCGCCTTACCTATGCAGAAAAATGTGTATTTAAATAAAATATAGTTATTTCTCACTTCAAAATTGATTGCTCAACTTAAAATTTAACTTCAACACAAACTTATACCTTTACACTACAACTTGCAATTCTTACGGAAGATTTACATACATACCACTCAACTCTTATGTATTTAGATATCTAACACTTAAACTTCACTTTTTGCATTTATATGTCACTTTATCTATGCATGAAAAAGGTTTATATCACTTTTAAAGAGTTAAAATTGTGGTACTTTTGATATGATGTGAAATGTTTTGTGTGGTAAAAATGTAAAAAACAAAGCTGAGGTGTTAGATATGTAAATACATAGGAATTGGGTTAATTTAGCTCTGGGTATCAAATATTTATTTTAGTTCTACACTTCTCTTTGCCATATGTTTCTTATTTTATCAAATACTTCTCAACTTCTTTCTATGTTTTTTTTTAACTTGATTTATTGCTCATTTCATATATTCAGGCTTACCAATGATTCCCCTCAAAGACATAGTCCCTGCCGCCACCAACACAATAAACACAAAGTTCATACTCCTTGATAAGGGAAATGTCGGTCAGGACGGGAAGGAGACGACTTGCCTTGCTCTCGTTGCCGACGAGACCGCTTCACTTCACTTTCAACTATGGGGAGACGAGTGCTGTTTTTTCGAGCCCGGCGACATAATCCGACTCACCAATGGCATATTCTCATACCACAAGGGCAACCTTGTGTTGAGAGCTGGGAAGAAAGGGAAGACTGAGAAGACTGGGGAGTTTAATATGGTGTTTGTTGAGACTCCTAACATGAGTGAGATCAAATGGGGCATTGATCCCAACAATCCCAGAAAGTTTGTGCAGGAATCTGTCATCTCACCTCACTCCACAATCTTCCCACCATTGCCATAATTCTTTGCATTTACATATCTAGCTCCCTAAACTTTGCTTCTTACATTTATGCCACCCAAATCTTATAGATGACATTAAAAACACCATCATTTTAACTTTTAGAGAGTAAAATACACATTTTCTTACTAGGTGAGGTGGCAGGTATGTAAAAAATGGAAGGTTTGGTGTTACATATGTAAATACATACGATTTGTGTGGTGTTTATTTAAATTTTCGTTGTTTTTATGGATCAATTCGGGTTCAGATTTTTTTTTTTCTTATGTTGATATAATATTTTTTTATGTTGATATAATGTATTTTTTATGTTGATGTAATGTTTAATTGAGGCCTGCTATTGGTTTGGTTATTTTGATACATGATTTGTATTTAAGGTTTGTGATGGGTCTTATTTGCAATTAGGATCATCTCTCTTCAGATTATTTTGCTCGTCTCTTTTGAGGGCCCGTTTGGGGCAGTTTATTTGGTGCAGTGGCGTTTCGAAAATGCACCTGAGAAACTGCGTTTTGACAGCTTATGCGTTTTCAAAACGCTGAAAACAATATTTTCATACCGTACATATTTAGGTGCGGTGACAGCTTTCTGACTGTGGTCTGACTTTTCTAAAACAATAAAAATTTATAATAACTACTGCACCCAACTTATCAACAGATTATTTTTAATCAGCTTATTAACAGATTATTCAATAAACTGCGTCTGCCCCAAACAGACCTTAAATGTTGTAACTTGTATCTTATGACAGGTTTTTTATTTATTTATTTTGGGCAATTACATTTCTTGAAACTTGTTATTTACAAATCAATCAGTCTCTTTCATCTAATTTTTCAATTTTAACTCAAAAGTCAAAATTCAAGATAGAACTCTCGACAAATATTTCTTTTTTATAAAATTCTCAATAATTTAATTGTGACATCGGTTTGATAGCCCAAAAAAATCACCCCAATGTTTAATTTGTAAATATCAACATTTCGGGTGATCTGCATGTAACCATCTTTGTTTTTTGTGTTGTAATGATAGAAGCTTGGGGAACTTGCATATCACACATTTCTTATGTATTTTTATATATACCATTTGAATTTTGATATTTATATAGCTTCTTAGTATTTGTTTTATAGAAACATGTTTGAAAATATCTATTTAATTTTGGAAAAATTACTATAATCATTTATGTTTTTTTAACAAGTTGGATTAGAAACTAATAATTATAAAAATCCTTTATAAAAAGTACATGAGCAACATTTAAACAATTTATTTCATAAAGTAAACATCTAAACAAAACATAAATGATAATTCCCAGGACCTAAAATGGGCGTTTACTCTTTTGCTTGAATCGTAGAGCAAGTAATTCACAGTTCAAAAGTGGGAGCAGATTCTACACCCCAAGATGCTTGATAAATTGCCCGACTGAATATACTCCTATACGGATCCTCCTCCCTCTTCATCTTCAAATATGAAATCAAGTTCTCGATCTCAGATTTGATCTGCAAATACAGCTTATTTGCACCCTCCCTATCCCTCAGAACACTCTTCATCTCTCTTGTCTCTATGGGCTTGCCAAACAGAAAATAAAAGCGTCCTGGCACCTTCGGCACGAGTCCGGGTAAGTAGAGCTCCTGGTCAGAAACTTCACCGCTCTTATCAGCCCTATAAAAATTTACAATTTTGGTCTCATTATGCAATATTAGAGAATTTAATGGATCTTTTTGCTATGAATGATCATTACCTTATTCTCACAGTATGTTGATTGATCTCTTCTATTTGTTTTCTGATAAAGGGGATTTTTGTTTGATCATTGTAGTCGAGAACCAGCTGCAATAGGAATGAATAAAATACAAATAAAATAAAGGGGAATTTACTTATATACCACACAATCCTTGTGTATTTACGTATATAACACCCAAAGTTTGATTGTTACAGTTAAACACATTCGTGTCATAAATCTATGCATGAAAAGGTGTATTCCACTTTTAAAAAGAAAATAATGATGATAATTTTGATGTGATGTTAAAGATTTGAGCGGGATGTGTGTAAATATGAATGTTTAAGTGTTAGATATGTAAATACTTGGTATGTTATTGAAAGCCCCTAAAATAAAACAGGCTAATGGAAACACAATGCAGTGTGCAATGTAATCATAGATCAGTATATCTAAACATCTAATCTAGTAAATTGATTGCAAATAAAACCTCGAGCCATTTTGCAAAATGCAACCAATTGCAATTCAGCCAAAATGCATCACCTAATAAACCAAGAAATCATGTAAAAATGCAGGGGATCTATGAAAAATTCAAGACAATGCATATTGTAACTGATGAAAGGCCACCAACAACAACAAAGCCTTAATCCCACTATGTGGGGTCGGCTACATGAATCCTTTTTCTCCATCGTGTCCTATTTAGTGTCATATTTTCATTTAATTCTAGTAAATTAAGATCATTTTTTATACAATAAGCCCAAGTTTTTCTAGGTCTACCTCTGCCTTTCTTAATACGAGTCAAATCTAAAACATCTACTCTCCTAATCGAATCATCAAATGGTCGACATTTAATGTGACCAAACTATCTAAGACGACTAAAGAAAAGCCACTTTCATAAAAATACCAAATCATGTTCATAGGAATAAAATAAGCATTTAAGTAGATATATGCCAAAATTTGTTAAAAAAATTAAAAAACTGACTCATTAAAAGCTTCACGCTCAGTGGGATAAATATAGAAGCAAAATCTAGCTGGAGCAGCTAAAGTTAGATGAGTTAAAGTTAGGAAAAGATATGATGGAAACATATATAGGAGGATCTGCACGTACTATAACCGCAGAGAAAAATTCCAAGGGTTATTCCTTTGAGCTTTGATAGGATTTTCGGGTTCCTATCTTTCCCCCTTCTTTTCTTTTGGGCGAAACGCTAGCCGTCAACCTTCTTATTGCCATCTGGCATTCTCATTTGGATCAAGGGCTTTGCCCCTTAGCCTATTATGGATTTCTCATCTTTTTCTCCTCTCCACTTTTCCACTTCTTCTTGTTCTCTGCTCGGACCGGGTCCCTCCATTAATTGGAAAGGATTGATATCTTCTAATCTTCCTAATTCTTCAAACTTTAATCAACTTTAATCTCTTTTACAAATCTTGTGTAGAGGATAAAGCCTCTTTTACAGATCTGGAGATTGAAGAAGGATCTAAGAGGTGAAATCTTGCTTTAGTGGGCTACGCGCAGGGTAAATAACCCTTCTACAGCATCTTCTTCATTCTATAAACAAGATCTAGAAGCTTAGAGGTATTGTCGATCTTCTATCTCTTAGGAAAAGTTTTTCTTTTTAATTTCTACTGCTGCTCTCATTCATGATTTCCCTGATTCTGATATTAAGCATGCTTTCTTTTCTATTGGGTCTAACAAATCTCCTGATCCAGATGGTAGTAGCTCGAAGTTCTTTAAAGATACTTGATATGCTATAAGGAAGGCTAGTATTGAGGATGCGAAGTATTTTTTTTTAATACAATTAAACTCCATCATAGGCTTAAATATTTAACCATTACCATTCTTCCCAAGAAATCAGGTGCTAAGTCAATTATTGATTTTAAATCAATTTCAATTTATAATACCATTTATAAGGCCATTTTCAAGCTTTTGGTTGAACGTCTCAAACTTATGCTTCCTAATATCATCCATCCTACTAATGCAGTCTTCATAAGAAAACGTAATATTGCTGATAATATCATTATGACTAATGAACTTCTTCATGAATTTAATCCTAGAGGTTATATGCTAAAAATTATGTTCTAAAATTGATTTGACGAAGTCTTTTAATAAAGCAAATAGATTTTTCCTCGATGATAGGATGGTTCGCTTGGAATTTCCTCCTACCTGTATTCATTGGATTCAAGCTTGTACAACTGAGATTAATTTCTCTGTCCTTATTAACAATAAAATTAAAAGTATTTTCTTCTTCTTCAGGATTAAGATAGGGATGTCCTTTATCTCAGGACTTTTTTCTATTGTCATGGTACTCTTTCTTCTATGTTATATACACATGATGCTGGTTTTAGCAATCATGGTAGATTGCATGACGGTGAAGATTTTGTTCATCTCAGTTATGTAGATTATTTTCTAATCTTTAGAAAAGTTGACATTGACACTATTCAACATTTATCTAGCATTTTAGAAGCCTTCAACCTAGCTTGAAATTATTGTGCTAATGCTTCTAAATCATCAATTTATTTTTTTGTTAATCCTTATATGTAGCAGCAAATCTGTGATGTGAGTGGTTTTATTTTGAAGCCTTTGCCTTGGGACTATTTGGGAGTTACTATTAAATCATCTAAACTACTTGTGGCTGATTGTCATAAGCTTATTGATAACCTTCACACTTGGTTGGCTGGCTGAAAAAAAAGTTCTTTTTTTAATGTTGGTAAATTTCAATTAATTAGAACTACTGTTGGAGTTATCTTTATAATTGGTGTCATTCTATCACTCTTCCGAAAAGTCTTAGGAAGAAAATTTTAATATGCGATTAATAATTTTTTATATCATAATGGAATGAAGAAAAAAGCGGCCTGGAAACCATTTTTAGACAACATAATACTATGTGTAAGTTTAAGCAAATTTGGAGGCATTACAATTCTGATTCGTATTTAACCAATTGGTGTGATGTTCATTATGGCTCTATCTAGCTTAGAGCTAGGTATGGTATATCTATTTTTTGGAAAGGCCTTACTAATGTGGCTACTAGAATGAGGAGTACTTTATCATTCCAAGTGACTCACAACAGTAATCTGTTTTTCTATTTTGACCTTTGTTTGAATGATTTTTCTCTTTATGAAAAAATTGGAAAACCTATTTTTGGTTGGTTTGGCTTTCCTAAGCATAAGAAGTTATCTGATCTTGTCTAATGATAAATGGTTCTTTGATAATCATTCTTTAGTCCCAAAGTATTGTTTTCAACTGATTTTGAATATTCCAATAGTTGATAATTCTATCTGATGTTGTTGGAAGTGTTTAAATCACTTTCCGAATGAAGTTAATTATAACTTTGTGCATGACAATTTTCTTTATTGTGATTGGAACATGATTGTATGGTTCAAGGGGTTTTCTATCAAATTAGCATTGCATTCTTGAAAAATATTTCAAAATAAATTAAAAAACTGTGATGTACTCAATTCGAGCGGTATTATGTTTGATACCAAATGTGTTCTTCGTCTCCAGAGACTAGAATCTCATAGCCATTTATTTTTTTATTACCCTTTCTCTCATAATTTGCCAAGAAAATGCATTACAAGTGGTATTTTTTTCATGGTGACCAGTAATATGATTCAGGTTTTTTATCGTTCCGATACGTTCTTATGCAAAATTTACAAAACATTTTACTTGGTGATTGTTCAAACTACGGCTTGTTACATTTGGATTGAGAGGAATAATAGAGTTTTTAATAATTATTTTGTTCCCCTTGATGCTTTTATTAAGAATATACATTGGATTATAAAGCAAAAAAAATAGGAGATGGAAATTCAAAAAGAATGCTCCGAGTACAATTTGTGCTCTTTATAAGATAAAATTTTTCAAGTCTGTATATTGGAATTGGGATATTTGATTCTCTATTCATCACTTTTCTTCTGTTACTTTTTTTGGTAGTTAGCTAATGGATCAGAAATCTTTTGCTGGAATGGAATTGGTGTTCCTTTTTTTATATACTACTTTTCTATTGCATCTTCTAGATAGATATCACATTTAAAGATCATTGAAGAGGTAGTTCACAGATACCATACTTTATTTTAAGCTATGATGATTTCCAGAGGTGGCATGGTGCGTCAACCGTTGTAAGAAATTATTATGTTTTATGACTTTTTCATATTACCCAGATGGAGTCCTCATGTTTGTTTGCGGGTGGATTTCTTGAGCTAGTTCTCTTCTCATTTTTTAGTCTTTATGGATTTTTCTACTTGCAGAGATTATATATTCTTTTTACTGGACTTCCTCTCTTTCTGGAGGATGGACTACTCTAATATGGTTCTTCACATTGAATAATTTATTTCTGTCTTCTGAGCTGCAGATGTTCACATAGACTTTCTTCTTTGGGCTTTAGAATGGCTGCTTTGAGTTATCTTTGGCTAGAGATTGCTGTTTTTGTAGGACCTTGTGGTCTTTTCTATTTCAAGGATCTCAATAGTATTTTTATTTTCTTCAAGTCTATGGTTGATTCATTTGTAATTATTTTTTTCTTGAATAAAGCTGGCCGTGACCTTCATTTTTATTTTTCTGAAGTAATAATCGTTTGGTAATATCGTGGTGTGTTGTGTCGCACTACTCTATAGGAAAAAATAAGATAAAATCACCACTATTATAGAATGGATAAATTGCTCTGTTATTTATTCATTGGTTTACCTTTCCATTGTGCATTTACCCGAACACATCCGTCGTGGCATGATACTTAAGAAAGAGAACCAAAAGCAATGCCATCACAAAACTAACCTTAAAATTTTTCAGTAAATTTTTATTAATAATAAATGCCATTACCCCATGAAATCATCAACCTCTATAATGAATCGTATTAACGAAAATGAAGATGTATTCAAAATTTCACTGTAAACACAAAAGATTGGAAAAACATTTTTTAAAAATAGTCACAAATAATTTAAGAATTATTTTTTCAGAATGAAATGAAATACGGTTACAAATTTAGAGCTTGAATGTATTGTGTTAAATGATTTTGGAAATTTTAAGTTGCCAAAAACAAAAATCTTACCTCTGCTATGTCATCTTCTCCAACAACACCAAACGGTACAATAGTGGCATCAAACCGAGCAGCCATTCTCACGAATTCAGGCTGATCTGGCCAAAATAATTTATATTCTTCCCCCTGTCCAAGGATCAAATATTTGGAAATATAATAACGTTTTGCTAAATTTTTTTTAAAAAAAAACCATAGCAAGATTCTAAAGAAGAGACATTAGAACTATATTTAACAGAATATTAGGAATATTATAGTTTTCACTTACCTAAAAGAACCAAGTTAAAAGTCGAAACATGATCATACATGGAAAAGGTGTGGCTACAAAGAGTTCTAATGTCCACATTCGATTTTAAAAGATATAACTAATTTAAAAGTGTAGAAATATAGGAGGATCAGTGTTTAGTTTTATTCTCTTCCTATTTATATTTATAGGAGGATCGGTCCCCTTATGATTTACTTTCCATGTTTAGGCTAGATATATTTGGAAAGAATGTAAATTAGGATGGATCGATTTCCTTATGTGTGTAACATTTTAGTTGAAGATTTTGAATAAGAATTCTAAGAATTCCCCTCATGTTTTTCTTCATGGTATTAGAGAGAGGAAACAAACCTTAGCTTTCCTTCAATGGCCGGCCTCTCCAACTGTCCAGCACCAAAATTCTCCCTCTGCCGGCCAGCTTGCAGACCCTCCCCAGCTCTGAATCCTGCTCCTGCTCCCTCTCCATGCAGGAATCCTCCTTGTGATTAGGTCATGCAAGCAGCGATCCCGTTATGCATTTCCACGTTGTTTCTCAGCTAGGTAGCGATCCAGTCGTGCGCTTCCCTGATGTTTCACACGCAGGCAGTGATCCGCTGTTTCACACGCAGGCAGTGATGTTTCTCACACAAGCAGCTCCCTGCAGCTTTCGATCTCCTACAGGCTTCCCAGCAAACTTCTTCCCTTCGCTATCCAGCCTTCCCGCTGATGACCCATCTACTCCTTCCCAATCAAGCAGTAGCCAGTTAAGTTGCTGGATTCCTAGCTTGCAGCAGGAAGCAACTAGGAAACCGGCAGCTAACAGCAGCCATGAATCATTTCCAACCCTAAATGTGCATAGAGATTATGACCAAATACAAAATGAAGATGTCTAATTCTACTCCAGATGTTATTTCTAACTTAGAGACCATGAATTCTATCGCAACAACCCCTGACCTGTCTACCTCTATCACAAACCATAAACTCAACGGCCAAAAATTCCTTCAAAGATCCCAACCCATTTTTATGCACATTTGTTGAAAAGCAGTTCCTCAATGACACAGTTCCTAAGCTCACTAATCCTAACCATCACACATTGAAGATTCAAAACCATTTTGTTGTGTCTTGGTGAGGCTACTCAATGACTAATGAAGTAGGAGAAAATTTCTTTCTCTACAAAACATCCAAAGAAATTTGGGAGGCTACGAGACAAACTTATTCCAGCACTGAGAATATTGAAAATTATTTGAGATTAAAACCAAACTACATGATCTTCGTCAGGAAGACTTACGTGTCATTCAATATTTCAACATATTGACAAAATATTGAATTTAATGGGATATGTTTGAGTCATACATCCACATGATGCGTGATGTATAATTCCATCATTGAGAAAAAGAGAACAATCCAACTCCTAGTGTGACAAACTAAGAAATTGGATGAAATGAGAATGAAGATCATGAGAATAAAACCTCTTCCATCTACCCATAAACATTTGCTGAAGTTAAAAGAGAAGAGAATAGAAAGAATCTTGTGATGACTAAAAATGAGAGTTCTCCTAGTGTTGAAAGCTCAGCTCTGTATTTAACATAATTCTTCCCATGAATTAAGGTTCAATAAGAATCATCCCACATGAGACTATTACAAGAAAATTGGGGACTTCAAAGACAAATGTAGGAAACTCCATGGAAAGGCTGCATATTGGAAATCTGGACATCAAAGGAAAAATCAAGAGAGCAAGACTAATTTTGTTACCTCACTTGAAGCGTAAACTGAACCATTCACCAAGAAACAACTCGAAATACAAAAAAAAACGCCTTGCGGGTAATTCAGAACAACACACCAGCCTCATGTCACACCAATATAGACCTTAGATTATAGATTCAATAGATTCTGATAATGTGACCAAAGACATCAATGATCAAGGCAACTATCGAGAGAGTTCTATATCTACAACTGTCAGACTTATAGATGGATCACACCAAAAAAATACATGAAAATGAGATATAGAGTTCCGTCAGGATATTACTATTTTCTCTATTTTATATTTCCCAAAGTTAGACTATAATTTAATTTCAATTAGTAAGCTTATACATGATATGAAATGTATAACTAAATTTCTTGCAAACACTTTTGAATTTCAAGCAGTGGATTCACGGAAGGTGATAGACCATGTTGAATTGTATCAAGACTAATACCTGCTCAGGGAAAGCCTTTCTAAACACATAAGTGGTCCCGCCTACATTTTTTCCTCAAGTCTCCAAGTTTGTTGAGTCTATGACCGTTGAAAAACTATTAATATCATGACATTGTCGTTTGAGTCAACATAATTTCAATTATATTGCAAAGTTGTATTCTCTATATTTTTCAATAAAAATCTAGTGCTCATCAATGTGTGATTTGTCAACTTGCCAAAAAAATTAGAAATAGTTATCCAATGACCAAATATAAATTCTCACATCTCTTTTTATATTATCCACATTGATATTTAAGGACTTTCAAAAGTAAGAACCTGAAGTGAAGCTAGATAGTTTGTCTCATTCATTGATAATCACACTAAAAGAATGTGGGTATTCCTAACGAAATAGAAAATTGAAATTGCCCAAACCTTCCAAACCGTTTTTGACATTATTCAAACTCAAGTCCAATGCAAAATTCAGATTTTCAAAACTGATGATGCAAAAAAAATATTTCAACTTTATTCTTGGATCTAACTTTTCAAAAAATAAAATCATTCATGTGAATTTATGTATTGATATCCCACAACAAAATGCGATAGCGGAGAAAAAAAACAAACATCTTTCGATATTCCACTCAATTATAATTTCTCATCAAGTTCCAAAATATTTTTAGGGGAAGCAATTCTTACTGCAATATACCATATCAATCAAATTTCTAGTCTGTACTTAATTTCAAAACACCACTTCATATCTTGATGAATACATTTGTCTAAATCGGAGCTTTCTCTTCAACTATATCGCTTAAAATTTTTTTAATGAGCATCTTTTGTTCACATCCATTTCCCAACTTGCACAACCCTATACCCATAAAGTGTACGTTTCTTAGGTATGCCTCCAACAAAAAGAGCTAGAAGTACTACTAACCTATTCCTAGAAAGTACTACAACTTCATGGATGTCACAATTTTTGAAAATCAATCATACTATAGTAAACCTAGTGTTCAAGGAGAGTGCAAGTGAACATTAATTTTGGGATGAGCTAAATGCCAACTTACAACCTATTCTTCTTAAACCTATCCCTCCTGTCTCCCAGATACCACTGCATAAAAATATCCCACTTAAAGATGCTCAACCAACCCAACCTAAAGCTCATAATAAAGAGCTTCATGTACACATAAAGAGGAAGAAAAATCATAAGTAGGTGGAAGACAACTTGCAAAGTCAGAACTACTCAAGCCAAAAACCTAGCCCACAATCAACTAAAATTTTGGATAAGGACTCCAGAATTTAGAAGTCATCTCTACCCTCTTTTGGAGCAAATGACAAAGGAAGTTGTACTAAATATTCAATTCAGAAATATGTAGCTTATTGGAGGCTATCATATCCCTATAATGCTTTTGTATCTAACGTTGATAGCGTGCAGATTCCTAAATTCATTCATGAAACTCAAAAAATTATAGAATGGAGGAAATCAGTTTAAAGATAAAACTAAGGTACTAACGTATGACGACACATGAATTCTTACGAAGCTATTCATGAAAAGAGGCCAGTTGGATGCAAATGAATATTCAACATTAAGTACGGAGCTGATGGTGGTATTGAGAGATTTAAAACAAAAAATGTTCACTCAAAGCTTATGAGATTAACTATCAGGAGAATTTTGCACTAGTTGAGAAATTAAACACTATCAGAGTTCTCATCTCAGCAGACGTTAACAAGGAATGGAAACTGCATTAACTTGACATAAAAAATATAATCTTGAATAGGGATTTTCAAAAAGTGTACCTAAAGATACCATCAGGACTTGAGAATGACTCCAACAAACATTCTGTATGCAAACTCAGGAAGCCACTCTATGGTATTAAGCAATCACGAATGGTTTGGTTTAAAATGTTTGTTAAAACTATGAGATTTAATGGATAATCTCAAGGTCAAGCTGATCACATACTATTCATAAATCACACTCAAGGAGGTAAGTTTGCTACACTGATAATATATATGGATGACATGATTCTTACTGGTGATAATGAAAGAAAAATTCTTAAAATAAAAAAAAGTGATCACCATTGAGTTTGAAGTCGGTGGCCTAGGGACTATGATATATTTCCAAGTATGAATGTAGCAGGGTCTAATGAAAGAAAAATTCTTAAAATAAAAAAAGTGATCACCATTGAGTTTGAAGTCGGTGACCTAGGGTCTATGATATATTTCCAAGTATGAATGTAGCAGGGTCTAAGAAAGACGTTATTATATCATAGAAACTACATCCTAGATTTGCTAAAGAAAACAAACATGATTGAATGCAAACCATCTGCTACTCTAATGAAACCCAACATAAAGTCTAATAGGGGAGAAGAAAATATACTTATGGATAAAAAAAAAATATCAAAGATTATTAAGAGAACTCATCTATTTGTCACATATTGAGAACCCATCTATTTGTCACAAATTAGGCCAAATATTGCATATTATGTCAGTTTTGTGAGTCAACATATGAATAAACTAAATTGAGAATATTTAGGGATGATATACATGATTTTGAGATTCCTCAAGAAGACTCATGCTTATGAATTTTGTTTGAAAGAACCAAAAACAAAGGAATAGAAGTCTACATTAATGCAAGTTGGGCTGAAAAACTGACTGATAGAAGATCAACCACAAGATATTGCTCCTATATATAAAAAAATTTGGTTACATGGAGAAGTAAGCCTCTAGAAGCCGTGCAAAATCAGAGTATAAGACACTTATCTTAGAAATACGTGAAGGACTCTGGATTCAAAAATTGGTGAAGGAATTCGGGTGTACCTCTGATAGACCTATACAAATGTTTTAGTCAAGGAGCTATCACTATTGTAAAGAATCATGTGCATCATGATATTGCCAAACATATTGAAATTGATAGATACTTTATCTCTGAAAAAATTAATGGTGAGTACAACCAAGCTATATCCCAACATACCAACAAATTGCTGATGCCTTCACCAAACTCTTCCATTAAACAATTTCTCAGAATTTAATACCAAGTTTGGTCTACAATATCAACGACCAAACTTGAAGGGAGGTGTGAAAATATAGGAGAACCGATCCCCTTATTAATTGAAGATAATTTAAAAAATTCCTTGATTAGATTCTCTTCCTAATTTTATTTATTTGAAAATCAATTCCTTTCCCTATTTAGGCTAGATAAATTTGGTAAGATGGATCGGTTTCCTTTCATATGTAACCATTTATTGGAAGCTTTTAAAATAAGAATTCTAAGAATTCCTCTCACATTTTTTTCAAAACGTTTTGTAAGTATCAGGATTAGCATATTTGGATTTTGAAAGACTGCTACATTTCATTATTACACAATAGAAATGAGCAGAGAATGAGGATTAATAAAGCCATCTAGGAGAAGGCTAATAAGATGATTTATTACTTTTCATTTTTTAATCAATAGTTTACCAAGGATAATAGATGGAATTATATGTGGAACCATAGATTTCATCTACAAAATCAGCTTTTAAATGATTAAGAAGATTTGATAAAATATTAGGATAAATTACAATTTAATTCCATCAAAGATTTCATCTCTTGGTGGACCTTATTGTAGTGATCTGGACCTTAAATTTCCTGATGATTGTTGCACTCCTTAGATTAAAGGATAGGCTTCGTTGACCAGGAACTAAC